CCAAATCACTGGATCTCAAGATTTACGAAACCAAGTGTTTATTGACTTCAACTAGAGTCTTGAAATGAGTAGAAAAGGCTACAATTAGATTTCTAGGTTTTATCATGCGCGCGTTGTTGAATTTGCAAGGGTCGGTTTTTGCGATTTTTGGTGGGCTGGCGGATGAGTGGTGTTGGCGGATGAGTGGTGAATCACGTTATTGGAACGTCAGGAGAAAAGCTTGCATGCATGCCGCCCATTTGGGAAAGAGTGGGACAAAAGAATGCATTGATGTGAGCCCTGCTTGGCAGCAGCTCAGCCCCAGCTGAGCCGGGCTAGCCTCGAACCTGATCCTTTCTCGTCAAGCACCGTTAATTTCACCGGCTGGATGAGCATGAGGCGGAAACAACGTCGTCTTTGCCATTCTGATGATGAATCTCTTCAAGAAGTCGGCACATCCAAATACCTCTGCTACCCAAGCAGGCGTGGGGCTTGACATGGGTCGAAACAACGAACTGTAAGCAGCCTTCGAAACTTCTACCCGATGCTGATGACGGGAAAGATATGCGACCGATGGGCCAACAGGGATCAGAGTTGTCGCCGATTCTTCAAATGCAGTTGTCGAGTAAGAATTTCGCGACATAATAGGTTTCTTTAGCTGACGTGTGATTTAGCATCGTCTTCGTTCATGGACTCACGGGCAACCGCGAGAAGACCTGGACGCATGACAATGGAATCTTCTGGCCAGCCGCTCTCCTCTCAGAAGACTTCCCTTGTGCACGTATTATGACATTCGGATACGACGCCGACGTTGTCCGCTTCTGGACCATCGCGAGTTCGAATCGGCTAGACGACCATGGCAAGTCGCTAGCGTACGCACTTCTCGACCAGCGAGGACAAGTTGGCCAGCGACCGATTATATTCATCGCTCACAGCCTTGGAGGCTTAGTATGTGAGGAAGCTCTAAACCTCAGCAGCAAGAGGCCAGACTTAGAAAGTATTCTGTCGAGCTCTCTAGGTATTATCTTTATGGGCTCTCCCCATGGAGGCTCATATTTGGCAAGATGGGGGACCACTGTGGCGAATTACGTGAATACCTTCCGGGGTACAAACCGAGAGATCTTGAACACCCTGCAACCCGGCGCTTCAGATCTGCAGAGAACTGAGGAAGACTTTCAGCATATGCTGCGACGAGACACTATCAAGCTCAAGGTATACTGTTTCTATGAGGCTCTCAAGATGAATGACACTGTTGGCAAGATTGTGGAAAGAGAATCTGCTATACTGCCTGCATATGAAAACTTCAGCATCAACGCAAATCACCGAAATATGACCAAGGTTACTGGACGAGCAGATGTGGGGTATGGTCAGGTTCGAAGTGTACTAGAAAGGTGGATGCGGGAGTATCAAGGTGGTCGCTCAGAAGTTGACGAACCAACAGGAGCATCAAAAATTGATGGAAGCGGTTGTGGGGAGGCTTCGTACTACGGTCCTGTATTTAACGGTCCCATCTCTGGACGGTATGTAATACCCGGAACTCATGTCACTGGCGGTACGGCCAATTTCAATTTCCCTAGATGAACTGGATACGTTTGGTATTAGTGTAACCTTAGATAGGCACGAGTTATGAGAGGAGTCATGTAATGTGGACTGAGGGTCCGAGGAGCTATACGATTTATATGGTATTGATGAGACGCCAGACTCAAGGTTGATTGGGCATACCATCGTAGAGCCCAGCTTACAAGTAGAGGGTAGCCTTCTTGGCTATGTATATTCTATAATCCTACAGCAGCGAATTTGGAGTCTTCTCATCAACGCATCGAATTAGCTTAATTTGGTGATTGTGGTTCGTGTCGCGGACCGAGCAACCGGCCTGAGCCATATCCTGATTCAGTCATAGGTGGCTCAGATTTAGACCTATCGCCGGCCCAAGCATGTTTCCCGCGCTCTCTTCTGCAGGCCTGTTGGCACCGGATATGGATTGCCGACTTACTACGCGCCGGAGCCGAGCCGAGTATAGCGCTAGACAATAGATTAGACTCCCGCGTGGCACGGCGCATTTTTGCTGACTTTCAGTAAACGTCGTCACATGGCCGATTACACTGACTTTAGTTCCAAATAATATCGCTTACCCCTTCGCATATTAGACAGTATCAAGAAATTGTAGCTTTTCCGTTATGAGAGAGGTAATGTATTGAAGACTGAAGATCCCTGGTGCTATGAAATATAGAGAGGAGAAAGGACGCTAAGTCCCGAGCTGATTGGACAGCCCATCGTAGAGCCTTCTTGCTTACATCTCTAAGGCGAGGGTCTGTTTTCACCGTTATAAAATAGGCGTCTTGAGGTAAATCTACAATAGTTCCCTGTTATTTGAATACAAGTGTTGAAAGCCGTTTGCTGTAACTAAGGAAATACTATCTTACAGATCAAACGCCTCCTATCTAAAAACAACATAGTTATGACCTTTAAGAATCTCGGGCAACTTCTCTAACCCTTGACTGCGTCTCAGCTTTATATCGAAAATAGTCCGTGGTTCCAATAATCTTGAGCGTGCTTGGAGTCCCGACGCCTTCGAGAGTGTATTCTTGCGGGTGGTTTCTACGTTGTAAACAATATCTATTGAAGACAGCCAGTTAGGGATTGCGATCTGAAGGGTGGAAGTAAGAGCACTTACATGCAACCACCAATAATAGCAGCTAAAGCCGGGATGCCCACTCCCACGCTTACACCAATGATCACCTTGTTCGAAACCCCGCCCAGTTTCCTATCAGTGTTGCTTGTTGGGGATGATGTTGATAATGACGTATTGCTAGAATTTATGCTAGGACTTGTGCTGCTAGGAGGTACGTACGAAGTAGGACTACCAGAGATACCTTCGATCCTACTGGCTTTGGCACCAAATTCCACAGTCCTCATTACAGAATCGAAAGTCGAAGCCGGAAATGACGGCACGGCACCAGATGGCACTACAGTGACCAATGTCGAGGTCGAAGTGTACTGCGTTGTAGTCTGGAGGGAGGCTGGGCAGATGGCCAAGCCAGACGATATGCAGCTAGCGCCGGTGAAGATAAGTTCGGTAGAAATAGTGGTCGTCTTCATATCTGCTCTTCCATCTAGCAACGCCCTTGGCGTCACGGTTGGAGTTGGTGTAGATTTCCCCTTAATAGCGCAAGCGTCCGCGAGCGTAGTGTAAAAGACCGGGATCGTGGTAGCTGGCTGAGGACCCCATGTTTCATCGCCCACTGCAACTGTGGCCCCTGCATTGGCGCCGATGGCAAATTCATAGTACTCGACTACCTTGAGCGGGCAATCTTCTTTGCCTGTTGTATCCGTTGTTACGTTGGTCACAAATTTTGCCATGTTCGCAAAGACTGCGACTTCTATTCCCCCGCTGATGGAGGGCAATATGGCGAACTTCGGGGTGTCTAATGATATTCCGGCATGGGCGCTTATGCGGAGGGTTGCTGTGAGTACTGCGCCTGCGCTCTCGATCGTTACTGGGAGGAACTCGAAATGGACACCGGGACTATATGGTACACTGTAATCAGTAGATGGAAATGATATGTAGTAATCTCCGCTTACATGACTATATCTGAGACATTATTACCGAACATTGGAATGCTAATCTTCACTCCATCATCCAGCTTCAGATGGAACCCGTTGGTAATGTCGATCTCAGCCTCAGCGTCCAACATAAGATCAAGAGAAAACCAAATCCCCATTTGGACATCCTGGATAGCAATGCCCAGCGGAGTGTTTGACTGATAGATATTCAGAGTATATGATGCACTCCCTGACAACTTCGTCTCAAGAAGTACATAAAGTTCCATGCCATCGAACTGGAGCTGAAGAAGGCATTCGGGAATTCCTTGGACCTCGAGTGAGAAGCTGTTGTTGATTGTCGGCGCCTGAAATGCGTTGAATGCATCCGAAAGGTCTCCAGTGCTGAGTGATTTCAAGAAGTCCTCGAAATCGTTGTCAAGCTGTTGCCCAACTTCCTGGGTAATGTTATGAACCTCGTCTTCCACACTGTCTAACAGGCCATGGAAAGCCTGGCTGGCGTTGAAATTGCCATTGACGTCGAGCTGGGCCGTGGCTTTTCCTTTGATATAGCACGTTTTGCATTTGACTTCAATTCCTGCGGAAAGAGAAACGTTCTGCCTAGTTTCTCCTCCTCCAGCACTGTAAATCCTACGTAAGACTGAGAACCACGTGCAAGGGGAAGCGCTTACACAGTGAATAGCGTTGCATCATTCCAGGTTTTCTCCAAAGAGGTGCTGTTCTTCAACACAGTGTCTCTAGGGACGGCAGAGAGCACTCGACCAATAGCTCGGACCGTGTCAACATCTACAGAGTGAAGTGTGGTGCGGATAGCGGCATCCGCCGGAGGCGGGTTTGCAGCAGCTATGCCAGAGTTTGCTATCGTTCCTAGCAAAGCGCAACTTAAAAGCACCCACATCGCGATGTACGCGAAAGAATTTATGGGATGAATAGAAATCGACAAGAAGATCTAGCCTCCCCTTTATAACCTAGTCCGGGCTAGGTGACCTTCCTTATACCAAAGAGACCCTGAACCATTCCCTCGGCTTCTCTTCCGATCCCATGTTCGCGTTTCGTTCCTGCAGGGAACGGAATGTTGCTATCTCTATCGGGTATTTTTTTTCTCCCACGAGCCATGTTGTGAGCGCAGATTCTGAAGTCGGAGGACCGGCGTCAAACAGAGTAGAGTTCCGCTGGTACATCGGCTGCAGGTGGCTGCTAATATCATTGGTGTAGGCTAGGGTGTCCACAGCAACGACCTCATCTAGGTAGGCTCACTGACAATATACGCAAAGGCAGGGTACAAATCCTTCAACTTCGTACGCAACGCTATACCAGCAATAACGATCTGAGCACAGTGTCGAGCATGTTTGCTCCATGAAACATATCAACGTTCCAAGCCATTTCTTCCCGATAAGCGCCCAAAATCACGAGAAAAGTGTTACAAAAGAGCACAAGGGCGCTTACTAGAGATAGAGGAAGCGCTCCCAAGAGATGTCAAGAGGCAAAGCTGCTCGGAGATTGTCAAGAAAATGTGTACAGGCCCCGCGTTTCGTAACTGCAATCTATTGCGGCGTAGGTGCATGAGATAAAACGCCATCGCAACATGCATACTCCGTACATTAGTTGATATCTTGAAATAGACTCTCAAAACAGAGAAGGGGTTTTAAATGTAAGATGATTCGTTATTCATACGGGGATTGTCGTTAAGCTTTTGTCGGGTTAGTGGAAAGAGTCTTTCAACCCGCGTACGTTAAGCCTTAGAATGGCAGGTATCACAAGCTTCCCTTCTCAAGCAGATTAAATCTGCAAGAGCGGAATGTTTCGGATTGGGGCCGATAGTTCGTGCTGAACCACATCATTGCAGACACAGACACACTGCGTGTTTCGTTACTTCATATTCAGCTCCCACAGAATCTCAAAAGAGTGCTTTCTGAACTCGCCAAATCAAGAGCTGTCCAATCATGCACTCAAATAATAGCATATTGATCAAACCCCATGATCTCCCTTACCTAATTCTGCGGTATGTGGCCGTCGATTCGGCAGTCGCAGTGCCAATTCTAACAAACAATCTGCATTGTTGAGTTGTTGAGTTGTTTTTGAATCTAAAGATACGGGCTAAGAGTTGAATAATTCTGATTCAACCAAATTCCAGCACCTGTCATGTCACCATGGATGATTGCGAACACATTAGAGCTGCGCTCGCAATTTACACCAGAGAGCAGGGGGTACAACGATGCCTGTCGGCCTTCGCACTCCCTTCAGAATTCCCCTTCTCGAAACCCTACAAGGTTGGAACGGGATCAAGTTTCAACTCCGTGCCAACTTCCAATCTCGCCAAAGGATCTCTGTAGATGATCCAGCAACGCAATTATAATTTTGGAGCCAATGTACTTGTATGAGAGCATAGTAATCGTAAGATAACGCCTTAGCAACTAGTACGGAACATCACATGAATGATTCGTCTGCCATTTCAGTTGACAGTTTCATGATATTTCATAGAATGCTGATTTATGCGGTAAAGAAACCTAATTTGGTCCGATGAGGGAACATCCATGACCCTGGGCACAGATTACCCATATGTCATTATTGGGCCCGTGATTTCAACTTTTCAAGACGTTGTGAGTGTCAATACCATACGAATATGGGAGTGTCTAATTCACCTATGGCAAAATCTAGAGTGCACATGAATAGATTTGCGATTCGAATGAACAAAAAATGTATACAAAATTGAAAGGTTCCCTGGCAAGGGCTTAGTTCGCAAGTTGGTATCCATCACCACACTTTCTGCTAGTCCAGCTAGGTTTTCCAGAAAGTTGGGTGAGATAGCAGAACAACAAAGATTGAGACGAGAGAGGAATACCTAGAGGGGTCATGGAATGGATGATCGACGCCAAGGAACCTTACTATTTCAGTTCCACTAGCATTTGCCCCGCACTTCTTCAACCTCCGTAACCATCTCTCATTCAGACTAGAGCCAATTGACCTCATATTGACCTTTTGCGGGTGCTGGGGCCTGTGAGGCTGTTGAGGGCCCGAGTAATGGTTTGGGGACTCTAAAAAAAGGGCATTGGCAAGGCTACGACCAAGATAGGGAGGGGAATTAAGATGATCCCGATTATGCACCATAGCGTTTCCTTGTGAAAAGACCAGAGTCGGTGAGTTAAACTGATGTATGCCACAGTTTCCATGTGCTAGGTAGCAACGTGAGGGAAACCTTACGATTAGGTTCTACAAACAGATCACCAAGCGTCCCGATCCACCACAGGATCTCCTTTAGCTTCGAGCTAGCAGTATGAATGAAATTTGAACCTCCATATGAGACAAATTGGAGGTAAGGAGAGCATGCCGGTTCAAGAACATGAGTAGAGGCCTTAAAGGAAATTGCTTCGTTCCTCTGTCTCTATCGGAATCATATTCCCCAGCATTCCGATTCGGATACAACGACTGTTCACTCTCAAAATGTTAGCATCTCCTAGCAGCCATCTATTTTCCTGGCCTCACTGCCTCTATACGACTCTTACTCATCCCACCACGACCAACAGAAGTCATTGAGCATACTCCCCGGCTGATGGGGCTTGGGACAGTCCCTATCCGTTGGCAGCGGCTGCTCCCACTGCTGACACGTATACCTATGACATAATTTAGCATCGGTATAACTCGGCCTCAGTCAATCAGCCATATCACATAATATCATCTCCTCCGCAATCTCCTAAATGAGGACAAATCCAGAACTCACCCACTCACCTCAAACTGCAATAAACATACCTCCCTCCATCAAAACTCTTCGCTCCACCGCCATATACCCCCCGCCCATACTCCTTCCTACAAGGGAAATCTACGCCCTCAAACACCACCTTTCCCGCTGCTACATACGCCTTGTATCCCTTCGCTTCGGTTGGGATCTGAACGTGCACGAAACCGCGTGGTGCATCGACGGTGTTGTAGAAGAAGGCGGATGTGTTAAATGCTTCCCAGCGATGGTACGGAATTGACCCTTGCGGTGTGGCGAACTGCGTAGAGGTGTTAGGCGCGCTAAGTGTAATGACTCCCCAGAGGCGTGCGCTACCTGGGGGAGAGGCGTCGGGGTCGTGGGTAGAGTCAAGACCGTTGCTGCATTGCATGAGTTGGAAAGAGAGGAGGAAACGGGAGGGGATCGTCGTGTTCGTCGTGTTTTGAGCGAGGATGGGGATGAGGAAGAAATACAGGTTGAGTAGGTGAAGAAAAAGCATTATTGCTGGCCTGGATAGGCTACCTAGCTTGGGAATCGAATTTCAGGGGAGCTAAACGGCCGGCCGGTTGGTTTATAATAGCGGCCTTGCCTCCAGAGTTGTGATGAGGTTCGATAAATATGACCGATCAATGCCGCGTCATGAAATCAAAAGAGAATCCTTCGTCAGTCTATGATGAAACGGTAGTATTGAAATAGGAAGTCTGCAAAGGAACGTTAATATAAAGTAGGTGGAGCATATTACCCGGCTCTATCGCCAAATCTTACCGTTGCGCGTTGCGTTAAAGAATCGCAAATAGCACATGTCAGCTCCACTGGAGGGACAGGAACAAAAATACGCTACTTTCGCAGGCTGGCTCCTCCTCGGCTAGCAAATATCAACTTCGCAGTATCATTTGGAAGGGCAGGAAAGTCCTCGAACAAACTTTCAATGCCATTACAAGAAGTTCAGCGATAGTAAGTAGAAAGAAAGTTGTCAAAACTCCTAAAGAGTGACAGACGCCTTTAATGGAGGTGCTTGCTGCATATGTAGCTCAAAACTTAAACCCACTGATCCACCAACCCCAATCCCCCTATAGCTTCCCCCTCAGCATTTCTCGTCCCTTCGATCCTCCCCATCATCCCCTCCCATTGCGCCGCCTTCATCATCTCCATCCCAACCTTCCTCCCCATCCCAAGCCCAGTCCCATTCCTCATCTCTCACAGGCACCAACGGAATCCAATCCCTTCCCGTTGTCTTCTGAAACTCATTTCTCAACTGCTAGAAATGCTTCTCCAAATCCATATTAACTTGTTCTACCCCCCATGTTTGCGGTAGCTGCACACTCTCCGGGGCCGTTTGATACGGATCTTCAATTGTTTGATCTATGTTTCCTATCGCAATCTTCTGTTGCGCTTGGATGGCTGGAGGCGACGAAATATTTATTGTGGTTAACAGGGAAAGTGAGATCGGAGATATGATTTGGGAGTCTTTACGTGTGGGAAGTTCTAAACCGTGCGAGGGAGGGTACAGATATGAACAGCATCTGAGGCTTGTTGGTGAATGCTCATCACTGAGGGTCACGTTCGATTGAACGTGTTCGACCGGCAGTTGCATATTGTTCTGGTGTTCATCTTGGAGTTGTTACATTGACGTGTTGATTGAAGACGCGGTTGTTAGATTCATCGCCGGCGGAATAGTTGTCATATTCGCCGTTGCAAATCGAAGATGTGACTAGCCATCAGACACAGTGCAGACGGGTGAGTTATATCATTACAGCAAACCAAGAGAGCAGATACGAAGGTCCTAGAATATCACTTATAGCTCATTGCTAGAGACAAACGTCTGAACTTCTTTGAGCAATCAGTATACATATAAACAACATGCAACAACGCGGCAACATCAGCAAACAGTATCTATGCGAGGCTTCCTCTGCGGGTTCGGGACTTTGAAGCCCTACATCAAAAATATTTAAGAAGCGATAGGAAAAAAAACTTGGAGAAGCCGTGATTCAACAACAGCTGAGTCGTCTGTCGGCAGACCCCATCTATAGGATATTCATACCAACAACACTTGGATATCCGAAGATACACCTCCAACCCAGGGGATCTGCATCTCTAAGACACGCAATCGACCTATCCCTCCCATCTGGAACTCATCCGAATCTGCATTCAGATCTCATTTGGGGCTCATTTCTACCCCCCCCTTCTTCTCCTTCTTGCCGGCTTCTCTTCTACTCTAAGTACTCTTTTCCAATATCTGAGGAGCTTAGCTTGCTCAGCAATAGTTGCTAGATCTTCCATCTCCTTTCTCGCATCGACATCCATAGTGCTTCTGGATCGCTGCTCTTTGACCTCATCGTCGACCTACGATTCGACGACGACGCAGTTTTTCAAGAATCTTTTGGACGCGCCAGCTCACTATCTCCGCCACCAGAACGCCATCAATAGTTCTAGCCACCTCACCGATGTCGTCGGACCCTGCTGCATTCCATACACAGCAATCTCACAACTTATTTTGCAAGGGTTTCATATGCGGGTACTGCCATGGCTGGAGTTCGAGGTAATATTCTGCCTGACTCTTGATTATTTCTTTTCTATCCTGTTTCTCCTCTAGCTCTCATCGTGCTGTTTTATTTCACGAAGCGGCAACAGGCCTTCGTGTCGTAGGGTGTCAGGTAAGAGGTAGGTACTAAGTGATTTTCCTTCGTGGGCTTGTGGCTGCGAAGGTGGGTTTGTAGCGTGGCTATGGCCTTCTACATAAAGGGTTGTTTATTAATCTGGTTGTTCGCCTGAAACTCTTCACCAGCACTTGCTCAAACACCTACAAGGTTCCACAGCCCCTCAAAAATGCAGAGCTAACTCATCAGACCAACACTCAATCCTTTTACATAAACAGTCACCATCATACCCTGCAACTCCTCGAGCGACTCATTAACAAGCTTCCTTTCCTTGCCCATCCTCCCGCCTCCTCCCAAGCATAAAATCTCCGCTTCAATCTTCTCACAATCCCTCTCCGCAGTCCGAACATCTTGTATCAGCAGGATGCACTAGAGAAGGTATTAACTAACTTTCAGCTGCGAGTCGGAAAGTCAAACCGGAAGCTTTGTGTAGCACCGTTGGAGCGGAATGGAATTCTGTGATGAAAGAGCACATTAGTGGAGCATGAACGACGGGTCAGCTGGAATGGAGACTTTGATGTTTCGTTTGCGGGGGAACATGGGAGGGAGGCCGATTCAACGCGGCGCGTTGCTGCCCGCGAGCTTAGAGATTAAATTAGTAGATATGAAAGTATTATGATTTGGCTCGTCGCTGGCGTCACTTGTTGGAGTGAAGCGAACCTGTTGGGCTAAAACTACATCTGAGACGTGCACAGGGTAATGTAATTGCGTCCGAAGTGTTTTTGCCTAAGGGCAATAAGGTTTCCTATAATCATGTTTTTGGACACTTTGAGTGAACTATGATGGGATATCCGGTGATGGGATATCAAATCGAGTTAGCATCTTCATTACATTTCTCATTGTAGCACACGGTTCAGTGCATGAAATTGCCCTGATCCTGTTACGTAGTGTGTGATAAACTGCTGTAACGCAACTGTGAGATTTCACACCGACAATTTTCGAAACTCTGAACATGTTGCAATTGATGAATGTAAGCCACGCGTGATTCTGAAAGACTTCACGACAGTGATGTGCTCGTCATTTACAGTGTATAGAACAGCGCTTCCAACAGTCCGTAGTACGTAACCGTAGTACGTGAACGTAACTGTCACGTGAGCAGTAAGTACGTACTTGCTTTTTAAGCCGTAACTTACAGCTCACATCTCTGTCCCTACGTACCGTAGTACGTCTCAAAAAGTCAATATTTCCTAGCAATATAGATCCTGATTGGACATGTCTGGGGGCGCGTCGACAGCGTGTTTGAGGTCGCGTGTAACAATCGGGTGAAAACTCTGAGGGTTGTGGGACGCTAGGGGATGGAGATGTGGGATCTTATGCAAATAGTCAACCTTTTGCCCAGTTTATCGTCCTAAGTCCATACTTGCCCATACTCTTGCCCATCATGAGCCAACAGATGTCCCAGTTCCTCCATCGTGGCAGGCGTACAGCCTCATCCCAGGGATCCTCCCGAGCCATGGTTGCAACTCCTACCCTACGCTATTCAAAATCGCCGTCGATTTCCTCGCTATCCCCTCCACCAGCTGCGACTGTGAGAGAGCCTTCAGTGGGGGCAGCCGCACGGTCACAATCAACAGGAACAGTCTAGGGGTTGATACAATTGAGGCTCTGCAGCTTCAAAAGAACTGGCTACGTCATTGCGCAGTGGAGAGTGAATTGACGGACCTGGAAGACTATATTGGGAGGAAAACTCCAGCAGTTACGGCGTAACTTCTTGCGAGAAGTACAGCCGTAGGAGGATTGTGAGCTGTTACGGTTACGCTACGTGAGAGACTATTAATTCACTTGTAACGTACGTACGTACTAACAAACTGAGAAGTTACGGTCTAAAAAAAGCTCAATCGTAACGTATTACGTACTGTTGAAAGCGCTGGTATAGAATTCAGGAAGGCTGGTTGGCAAGTAGGTAGGTAGGCGTGACTAATTAGATAAAGGGAGGCATTAAACATGCGTGTCGCGAATATGACGTTTCCTAATAACCTATCATGTGAGGCCATCTACTCGTAGAACCTACTCTGCATAAAATCGAGACGTCTGTCTACTCAAGCTTTTGGCTTGCACCGCATTCGGCTCCTTAGAAGTCCGGTTGGATTTGTTGTCGGTAGCATCCGGGGTAGTGATGGAAGAGTCTAAACCAAACAGCTCCTTCTGATTGAATAAAGGCTCGGCACCGACCGGCAAGCCACCAGCCATCACAAGAATATTAGAACTAAATTGGAATGAAATATGATCTAACATAGGTTTCAAAATAAAGGTATTCAAACCATCTAAAACCCGAGAATCTTCTCTCCACACGCAGAGTATTCCCATCTTTGAATTCGTCTTTGCCATCACTCAACCATTCCGTTCCTACATCAAAAACCACCCAGCACCCAGTAATCCAGCAAACCCCCAAGCGCCTAACACCACAGTTGCCACCTTCCCGAAGTTACCAGGTACATTCAAAGCGGCCGCAGCGCCGGTAGTGCCCGTAGCAGCAGCACCTGCGGCAGGGCCTGCAGTCAGGCTAGCCAGGATCTGGCTCATGCTTGCAGCGACGGATTCGAGGTTCTTGTAGGGGGTGGCGATGGCGGTGCCTTTGAGGATACCGAAGGTGTAGTTGGGGTCTTTGCAAACGGGGATGGAGTTCAGGGTTCCGGCGCAGCTTTGGCCGGATCTGAATATTCAGATTTATTAGTGATGTGTTTGACGGATGGGGTATGGCTAGTATTGTGAAGAGAAGCAGACTTACCCGCAGCACCATCCGTTCTTGCAGTCGTCGTAGCCAGAGCCGCAGACGAGATTGGGGTCCACATCAAGACGAGGTGCGAGGTGAGAGACTTCACGGCGGTATTGGCGTGCATAGGAGACGCCTTGCGGAAGAGGATCGGGGTTAGAGGCGAGGGGGTCGGCAATGGCGGAGAAGGCGAGGAAGACAGGGAGGAGAATAGCTGAGAAATGCATGTTGTAGATTGATAGATTAATTCGGTTTGAGTAAGTTTTGCGGACGTGGATAGTCGAAATTAAGAAAGATCTATACCCTCGAAAAGTGGCAGTGAAAGAGACTGAGAACCTAAACGAAAGGATATTAAGCAAAAAGAAGCTTGAATGAGGTACTTATACTCACCGCCGCATCCGACGCATTTCATGTCGACTCACTCTTCACGAAACGGTCAAGGGACGGCCTGAGCCACACTTGTTCACATTCATCCCGACGCCACACGTCGATGAGATCTTCAACTTCATCCCTGTCAAGCTGAGAACATGACGCATGAACCACCATCACGCCGATCGGGTATCCTCAAACTCTTACTATCACCCAATTCTAGCATCGTGTCTTCCGCATGGGGACTCCCGCCCGCGACAGCACATCAAACGCCAGGCAGCAAATGACCTCCGTCTGTCAAAATGCATTAGCATCTTGGCCTATTTCAGCCCCTCAGGATCCGTTGCCTCAAATACGAAGTCTAGGAAATGAGAGCTCGATGTTGAAATTTGAGTACCAGGGAAGCGGGAAGGGAACGCGAAGAAAGCGAGAGATCCATGGTCGGGATGTATCGAAGGATGATGGCGTGCAGGGGAAGAGGTTTAGCGTCTCGGCATGTCGGAGCGTATTTCCAGGGTTAGGTTAGGCGCGGAGGAAATTCAAGGGCCTGTGCGTTGATGTACGATTGCGTGAAAAAGATCAACATTTAGTTGGGGTGCTTGCGATGATTGTGATATTGACACAGAAGGACTGAAAACTTGTATTCCAACCACAATACCGAATAATAGTGGCTCCAAACATAGGACACAGCAGCGAGGCTTGACTCTCTATGCGTTGGTAAAGACAGCGCGAATGAGATAAACAGTTGGTTCAAGGTGCTTAAAGATGATTCATGACATTGTTCATCCAGCAGGGACGGAGAATTTACATTCAACGTGCAAAAGCCTAATATAGGAAACTTCCAATATCAGATATAACAATTGAAGTTGACTGGTGGATTACTATTGGGAAACCATAGGCATGATGCTGACTATGGACAGAAGAAAATACTCCAACTTAGATGTAACTAGAACCCGAGATATGTTATGCACCAGCATAATACATTATCGTCTACTATGGAACCTTTCTAGCGAGGATGTATCTGCTAAACGTCTGGCTGGAACAAGAACGTCAACAGGATATCCACTTCTTCGTAGGATTTATCCTCCTACATTCCTTGACGGATGAATTTGCAGTAAAGCAGGACCAGAATCGGTTATTAATTCTTCATTGCAATGTGTGACGGAGAAGAGGGTGGAACATCTTTGGACGATGGGCTAGGTTCAAAATCCTGCCGAGGGGCTGTGCAAAGCCTTCTTCCATTGCTAATGAAGGCTTAAAGCTTGTTTAGACTTCAACTGTGTTGAGGTAATTTTCACAGCTTGCTCGCGTCTTCAGGTATCGGAGAGACGGGACTAGAGTGGAATTGACTGATGTTCGGGTCAGCGTGGGCGTTGGAAATAGAAGTCATGACTTACGTATATCCTCCCGCCTGAGAATTGAGCATTCCTGAGCCTGGGGGAACATAGCTGTATGGAGATTGATTGATACCATTATTCTGCTGACTGTAATAATCCTGCGCAGCGCCATCTCCATTGACGGGCGAATACGGCTGTGGAGACGGCAGGCTTTGCAGGCTAATCATGGCATCGTCCATTTTGCCATAGCTAACGGGCCCTGGGCTAGCAGCACCCAGAGCCGCGGTGGCCGCGGTAACAGATCCCAAGGGAATCCCCGATGTGGAATCTGTCCCTCGAGGGTACAGCCCACCTACGTCAACACGTTTTCTCCCGACTAGGCGGATCCAATTGGCACGAGAAGCGCCAGGTGGGCAGTCGTTGGTATACAAGAATGTAGTCAGAATCCGGCCGGCAGAAGTTTGGTTCAAGTTTCGTCGCATAGCCGATGGGGTTGCTCGACCAAGGAGCATTAGACCAAAGGACATGAATACAACGAGGGCACAAAGTGCCAAGACGAGAAACGCCGGGACACCGTAGGCGGGATGGAAGCGTATCCTTCTTGTATAAATAGTGACTGGAACTAGTGCAGTCGCCTTTGCTCCGGCCCGCTTGCCAAGATTATGCAAGGACTCCGACGGCAGTTGGCTTTTAGTTCCTACAACAGCATTTGCGCTGGTAACAGTCAGTTATTACTTCATGCAGGCTACAGTTACAGGCTACTCACGCTATATCCGTCCACATTAGGTTGATGATCTTGGCAGCGGCCGATGCGTTGCGGGACAACTCCTGCCATTTAACGTACATGGCAAGGTTACTTTTCCCTGTATAGTCAGGAATACCGTAATATCCGTTGTTTGAAACATCAGTCATCTCATAGGCCACACCCATGACATTTGAGTAAAAATCGACGCCAGCAAGATTCTGTGAGGCCTTTGTTGGTGAGGCGGCCAGCAAGTCAGTCATTCCTGGAAGGTAGAGGTATTCCTGACGAGCTGTTGATATATTCGGGTGGTTCGCGTGTTCCGGAGTGGTTATTCCCCATATGGGATTCACGTCTTGGAGACGCATTTTCAGATTTTCTACAGCCCACAATGGCTTGTCCTCGTCTTTGGTGTATGTCTTCGGCTTGATGTCGAGAATTTTGAGAGATTGTAACCCTGCGGTGCCGTTGTAGACGAATTGGACTGTTTTGATAGAGACCTTGGAGGCAGAAGCACACGAATAGAGCGGCATTGTCCACTCGGATCCTGGGTCGAAGAACAAGGATGCAGTACCGTCTTTTCTCCTCGCCGCACCATACATCATTCCGCAGGAAACTGCAACGTTAGAAATGTTAGCAAAGTTGTCGCCATCGCTGTTTGAACATGCCGTTCCTACAAAGCACTCATATTAGCCCAGGTCAAAGGATTCGGGAAGGTCAAACACTACCTATATTGGTGAAATTGGATTCGCCGATCTTGAACGGATTGGCATAAGCTAATGAATTCGAGATGCTGCGGTTGAAAAACGTATCTGGAATGTTCAGGAATCTTCCAAATTCATGAGTTGTCTTCATCTGGTCAAAAGAAACATCAAATGCTCCAATCGATTTATTATCGCCGACCGGAAATTGGGTACCCACGCTTGAGTTTAGGTACTGAAATCGCGTTGAGAATGGTTTCATCTTTGGGTTTGTGACATTTAGATAGAACATCGCATATACGTTACTAAACCATGCAGCGAAGTATGCGCGATCGCGCAAGCTTGTATTTGCCCACGTATTGTTCGTATCATACGATGGAATTTCCTTGTTGAAATTTGCGAATCCTCCCCGGTCCGTGAGCATGAGATTCTCTACAGACCCAAATGTATCCGAAGAAAGCGGAATGTTAAAGTCCAAGGTAATATTTAGGTCCACACATTGGGTTTCTGGCTCGATGAAAAGAAGATCCTCAGACCAGGTGCTCCCATAGGGAAGGTGGGGAGGCACTGAGTGGTTACGGAACCCAATCATTCCGTCTTTGGTATCAACTACAAGGCCTTCGATGGCCTGTAGATTGTCATTAAGCGCGATCGACTGCAGATATCGGTAGTCTCCCACAAGGTACGACCGGTTGTCTTTCATGAACTTATTGTGCAATACTTTCTTGTAAGTCCTCCATTGAATGTCGAAAACGCTGGAAACGGAGCTATCGAATTTCGAAAATCCAGCTGAATATATATCGGTTATGTTTTTTGGAATGCGGACATCGTATCCATCTGGGAGATCTGCTGTGTACGTAGTCGAATTACGGGACTCGATCAGTGTAGTATTAGACCAGGGGCAGATGCTCGGTTTGAAGCCCCAACACATACGAGAAAGCCCGATATCGTTTCGCCTGGGAAGGGTGCTAGACAACATGTAAGCCCATATCATAAAAGGGAAATAGGACAGAATTAATCTGTTAGACAGATTGAAGGAAGGAGTTGAAGACAAAGTTGACAAATGTTCTGGCAGAAGTGCAAACCCAGCATCTGTGAATGGCGTCCTGGAATGGTGGAGAGTGACATACCCAACGCCGAAGGATGTGCTATCTTGTGCATAGCTGAACATCTCCTCGGTAAGATGGTCCTCAGCGATGACGGCCTCGTACAAACCTAATGGTGTGACGATGGATGCTACGGAGAGAAGTAGCAGCAAGAAAGCCTCAAATAGCGCTACCATTCGAACGCTTGCACTGATACCTCGTACTCCTGCAGACTCTGTTCGTAAGATCGAAGGCCAGGGCGAAGAATGCAAAGTTCGACCAACAACAGACCTAAGACTTGTCAACTCTACGAGAACTCCAAGAGGTTGAAATAGAACCTACCATGTTGCGGCGGTGTTTTCCTTGCCTAAAAGTCCAACCAAAATCAAAGGAAGAATCGTGGGTACCACATATTGAACTGGTCTTCATTAACATCGACTCTCTCCACGCATCCAAAATGCGCCTACCAATGAACACTCCAGCGGCAATGAGACCAGCGACTGTTGAGACATTCAGATCTTCGACCTTGAGCATTGCGAAGGTATGATGTTTACAAGGAAAGCGGAAACTAAAAGAGAGACGCACGATCGAAATGGTCAACGATCATTCAAAGGAGGGTGAGCCGCCTTCTTTTGACACAGCTCAGAAGCCGTGCACTCTGTACCGCGGGGCTAAAGAAGCTGGAAGCAAGAAATTGTTGCAATCATTTTCGAGGGGTAAAGTTAGAAACCGCACGTGGAAAGGGACCGATCGGGACAGGAATGCGAGCATGGAAAAAGCGCCACAGCTTGGCAGTCTCATCGCGAAGCTCAAGTGTCAAAAGCTTATCCCAGCTTCGATCAAGGGCAGCAATTTGGCAGAGTGGGAGAAAATCAGGCCATCTTAGGACGGCGACGAGATGCCCTTATTGATCCGCACCCTTTACGGGATTTACGATCATGCGAATAAGGTGTCTTTCGTCGCTGGAATCAGCTGAAAACTAGCCCACTACCCAAGCGTGCGGGAAATCGGTGAACCCCTTGACGCTGCAGTCTTCCAAGGACGCGCTTTTGTAACATGGGCAAGTAATGGGTCAATTTTTAGCTGATTCTCGCAACGATGATTCGCGTGATCGTGAAGCACCGACGCGCACAGAATACGAGAAGCCAGGGTTCCTGGATGAAAGAGCCGCAACGATTTTGGCGCGAAACGGCGATGCATCAATTTGTGATGATAGCTCAGAGTTGGTGCGCCCGAACTTGGCATCGGCTCACTAGCTTCCGGCTGAACACGTGCGCACTAGACGTACGACAATCTTGGATTTGTGAACGACTCTACCCGCTATCAACGACCTGATCTCAATTTTCATCATCTTTTGATAAAAATTCCGGGTGTTAGCCACTGCAGAAGAGCCAGCACGTAGGTGCCTTTGCATGAAACACCACCACTTGCTAGAGGCACAGCATAGATTTCAGAAGCACTACCGTAATTACAAGAATCAAGATGCAGAGCTGCAGAGTCACGGTGAGGCTCAGCAAGATCCCATGCATATGGCTTCCTTTCCTCCTCCTTACCTGTATTACTACTAATTCAAGACTCCTCTTCTAAACTAATCGAGCATCGTGATACTGTTTACAGTTACGGAGCTCTCCGAGCTCCACCACCTGCTCGAATTCACCGACCACTGCTGCTCACCCTGAAGTTGGGAGTATTGAAGTAATTCCTTGATCATAAGGCTTTCGCCGACCTGTCGTAGACTTTTCGTCCAATGAGATATTATCAAATTAGACCCACAAGGACTTCGGTATTAGATTCCCTCCTAAAATACTGCAATTTGTGGCCATTAAGATCGTAACCTGAAACACACGACTAGATCCAACTTATGTCATTAACAAATATGACTACACACTCACAAAAAGAGAGCTCTCTGAGCCTAAGTTTGCCATGCCCTTTAGAAATTCGTTTGCAGTTACGGAGTTCAAGCGCAGCTTGCTAAACTCTTCTTCCTGCTTATATTCACTGACCACCTCCTGCTTAGCTCACTCATTTGAATATAAACTCTTGGTTACGCTTCTTTAGCAACTAACTTGGTCCCTTATGACCTTGGTGCTCCGAAAAGCTTCACAAAAAGCTTTGCTCTTCATGTATACTAGTAAATTCCTCCCCATTAAGTAAACAGAGAATATTCCAACATGATCACATATCTCCCTCTTGCCGTCAGGCTACTCGCCATCACTCATTGCACGGGCTCTCTCCTATCTAGGACCAACGCTACTGCGTCAGTCACTGTACCAGTCACGGCACCCACCACAGCGTAGTCTTACGGTATACCCCATTTGAAATCGCAGCATGAAGCTTGTAGGTCTTTATCAAATTCAGTGTGGGTTTCAATTTCAATATGTGCTAATCAGATTGATCAATATTGTTACTAATTAATATTAGCGCGAATTAGCAAATATTAGTAGATTTTGTGATATTTGCACAGATGTCCTTAGCACCCCTTGAAATTTTTAGATTTCAACATTGTACAAATAACTAGTAAATTCAATAGATTCTAAAGCTTATTCATCAATTTTTACACTAGTATTAGACTCCCTTAGTACAGAGGAGTTATTACACTTTACGCAAAGGAAGACTTCTACTCTATAGAAACATACTTAGCCGCTGTACAAAGAAGAGGATACATACTTCAAGAGAACAAGGCTTATTTATTGTAAACACTGCGCAGAGATACAACCCCTGCTTGTAGCAAGCACAGATATCCACTGCTGTTACTTTATTCTCATCTTGTACAGAGCAGGCAGTATGGTTACTCCATTTGCAATTCCTACATGCTCCGCTAAAGTGCCTGGGTATCTGACAACACGATAGGAATAGGCAATAGCCCGGGGAGCCGTCAGTGCATGCTTTGCACAGATTACCTATCGCCTACCCCCGAGATTGATTGACAATGGCGTTAATATACAAAGCTAGTGCGTTGCTATCTGCCAAGTTCCAACGGGAGATTGCTCCCTGTACAAACTCTACACCCTGCTCTAGAAGGGCCAGCTGGGCACACCCCTGCAGACTATGACACCGTAAAGCCAGCTGCTGCTTTCCTACAACGAGAGCGGGGCTGGTATTAGCACCAGCAGCGGCACTAGCAGCGGTAAGGGAAGCATTGTGGATTACAAGGGCCCTAAGTCAAACTTAGCTTTGTACAGCTTATAGAATAACGGTTTAAGCTGCTACAAAAGCTGCGTAGGGCGCCACCTTTGTATAAGGTTTCTAGAGGATATACTCACATTTTTGCTGCTTTTACTGTTGCTGTTGCTGTTACTAAGGTAAGTTAAGAATTAACGCCAAAGCACTATACAAGGAAGGCGCGCGACCACATAATTACATTAGAAAGCGGTTAATATATGCTAATGCTTTGTTCAATCTGCGTTTGTAACGTAAATCTACTATTATTATTATTACCGTTTTGTTAAAATTGCTGCAAATACTAGCTAGCTTTTCACCTATTAAATCCACGCGGATCAAAGTTTTCTCCGCGCACGCTTTATTTACTAAAGTTCCCAGACTGTAGCGCGCCAGACACAAACGTTCGGTTTGATTCCCTAAGCATTGCCGTACAATAGCGTCTATCAGGGAACATATTAGGAGCACTTCGAGTGCTAAATTTACGTGCATAGCCGGAAACATCTACGGAGGAAGCTCAACTTCTCATCCTGAGCTCGCTAATGCCACACGCTCGACGGACCCAAATATATTGATGAAAAATTAAAGGGCTATTTTCCGTACCCCAGGCTATCCTAACTTGTACAGATAAATGAAACCCTCTTCAAGACCACTATTTGACAGCCAATCATATCTGGCACAAGATTACTAACCAGTGGGTGAGCATCCTTACATCAACATATCCCTGCCCAGTCCTTCTCTTTCAATCTCTTAGAATGAGCACTCCTCACCACCCGGCTTACTTGTAGTAGGCTTCTGTTACCAGAGGGTAGACTATTCTAGGTTATAGTTAAGGAGGTAGGTTTCACGTTGCTCTCCAGGTATCTGCAGGAATAGCTCAACAAATCCATAGACACCGTCAGAGTTGAAAGGTTACAGGCCATACAATATGCGCCACCCCCGATTTTAAATCTAGTCTTTTATCTTACTAGTAAGTTTTCCTCGATAAACTTTCGGGCGTTGAAGAACTAAGTATGACGATGCCTAGATGTTACCAACCATTAATAGGTGCTCTGGCAAGACGAAGGACGGAATAAGAGAAGGACCACCCGTCTGCTTCTGGTATTCCCTTAACCAACGATCCAAAGCACTTCATCTCGATCACTAGCCATCACAAAGCTCTAGCATCAATCCTAAACATTTTCAGCAGAGGGGATGATCTAGTTAGGTATAAATTAAGACAGATCCATCAAATAGTCGTAGAATACTCCCTACTGGTACAGTGGCTATGGCTCGCAAAAAAAAAATGGCAATAACGTACGAAAACACAAAACCATTTCAGCATTACCTCTCAGCCTACAGCCACTAGAATAAAGAGATTTTTTTTACTGGATAAGCACAGAAATGTAATTCTTCCATTCCCACGGGTATAGTTTTTTGCAGTTACAGAGATCTCTGAGCCCTAGCCACATGATGACGTACTTCCACCGGCGGATACCCTACCTGTTACGTTACCTGATTTACCTACTGTTTAGCCACTTGCTGCCCAGTCCACTCTTATGCATATATAGACCCTTATGTATACTCCTTTAACACTGAACTCAGTTCCTCATGACTCTGGCGTGCTGTGTATCCTCGCATCCACTCATTCTGTTAAGTGTCTTAGTATAATCACGTGATTTTCAGGAGCTCTCTTATACCAACACTCTGTCGCTCATAACGCCGCTCCCACGGCAATACCGAAGGAGTGTCCCGCAGGTAATTGCTATGGTTTATTTTGCGACTGGCCACTAGTGTGATCTTCACTCTCAAATATTGTGGAGCCCCTTCATCAAGCTACCTAGGATTATTCTTGGCATAGTGATCACGAGAGTGAATACTAAGTTGGCTCTAGCCCCTATTAGGCTTAGCGAAATCCTTGTGTCGCGATAGCTGCGTCACAGTCTTGGGGCCAAGAGAACGCTTCGCTGAGCCCTTTTAACTACAATAGTTCCTCTGACGAAGCGCCCAACCCCTAGTTTCATAAAAAAGGGCGGCTCCTCGTCAAAGAAGCCTTCAAGAAGTCCAGACAATAACACGCCAAAGGATGGGAGTGAACGAAACGCAGCCTTGCTGGACCGCGGCTCGACACGAAATGGGTCTAACTTACGGCGCTAGGATGTTTGCAACAACTCTTCATAGTCGGGATTGAGAGTATTCCGTGATACATTGAGCATCGGAAAAGCGGATTGCCCCCTACCCGCAAATTCGGCGCAGTCGTTGATTGGGCGTATAAATAAGAGCACCGAGAGGGTGAGGGGAGAGCCGGTAACGATTGGAGACAAATTGCTGAGGAAGACGGCGAAGAATTCTCGGGCAGGCAGTGCTGGAAGCAGGACCTCTGCCGTCACTGCGAAATTTGCTAAGATCCTCAACCGTTCGAACTCTTCAAACTCATTGGAATCTCCGAAGGCTTCGTACGAGCAGAAAGCATATATGGGGAACAAGATGGAGATACCACGAACCAACACCTTGAACATAGCTCTGGCCAAGGATGGGTATGAAGAGAAATTATAAGTTCCTTGCACGCTCCCGGATAAGATCTCCGGAAAGTATACTGATTGATTCTGCTATAGGTGGAACTAGAATTAGGTATACTCACCCTTCCTTCGTCTCCCGCCTCCCGTCCGACACCGGACCTTTGAGCGCCTCTTTAGGGCAGACCAGATCTTTGTGGAGTTTCAGATCTAAAAATAGATTTACTAGTACAACAATGATGAAGGCACTCGTAGGTTGGTCAAGACCGCTAAGTACCCTACACAGTTCATCCTATGTTGGTCAATCCGTATGAAGAAGTAGAGGAAGAGTTGAACTGCCTAATCGCCTACGAATGGTTCACCCCGATGAATCAGGTCTACCACCAACTTTGGCACGAAACAACACTTCCATTCAAGCTGGACCGGTGGGTGTTCAAGGAGAATTTTACCATGATGAACTTCTTGTGATTCAAGAAAAAGCCTCAGAGGCCTCAGCGTCGAGCCCTGACTCAGTTGGTTGTCCTACACAATCCCTCAACCAAGTCCATGATAGAATGGATGGGAACTCTGCAGAGAGTTAACCTAGTGCAGAGCAGGGTGGGGAAGCGCAATGGATGTTATGCCGTTGAAGGAAGAGAGAACGGTTTCAAGCTGGTGTGGACAGGCCGAATTCTCCAGATACCCGAAGACCGGATTGATGGCGATTTCTGGAATTACATGCGCACGGCAAGCTCTCCCATTGCTATTGTGCCGGATGTTCGGGAGCGAATAGAGAATTACGATATAGGATTTTCGATAGCCCAGGCATATGGTGGCTCACATCGTCCAGTCACGTTAGCGCAGCTAGTTTTGCGTAGCTAGAACAATACATCGTCCGTGGTGTGCACAGTTGAAGAGAAAAGCGGAAACCGTTGATATCGTAAAGGTGTCAGACATTGGTAGACTTGCCACGACACCCCCGCATTAAGATAAGAATACCGCGATCTTATACGTAGCCTTCACTTAAATTTCAGCGCCGTTTCGGCCTCGTACGTCAACATGTTGGTAAAGATTTGCAGTCGCTGCGGCGGACCCCTGTCGACTTTGAGCCCATGAAAAGCTTAGCGAGGCCCTTGCATCTTGCCTCCCGTCATGCCAAGCCCTTCTGATTCCAGCGCCTCTGACGTCATCCGTGCATCTTCGCAGTTCAAGTAACATTGGCTACGATCTCACATTTCAATTCATTGCGATGTTTTATCGCAAGCTGACAATAATTTCTCTTCGGAAGATGCACAGCAAAGAAGAGCGCGGTGTCTACGAAGATGCGGACGAGAAAACCTCGGATTCTTGGGTCAAAGCTTGAGGGCATCGGCAGGTTTACGTGCTGCCAATCATTCCTGACGTAGTTAATTCCCTACTAACACCGAGTAGCCGCGTAGCCGCTAAGTTTTATCGTAGATCCCACGCCCCGGATCCTCATCACGAGAGCTGCTCTCCATCCATCCACTGATAACGCCGTCGGGACTCCCGAGACTCAGCCCATCCGTCATTGGGCGTTTCGAAGCTCCTCCATCTTGTGGGGTGCACATGGGCATCTTTTGCCTCACAGCCGAAGATGTGCATGCGATCCTTATCAAGGGTATCTAGAGGCCACCCTGCACTTGCGGTCTTTAAGATGGCGGGATTGCCCAGCAAACGTTGACTAGGCTCCGCTTGTTGCGGGTTTTGTTTGCGCTCCTGACTTTCACCTGATTTTAAAGCTGAGAATTTTTGCTGGCGGGCCTACTGGGATTAACTCTTAAAAGGGTCGCGTGCCGCCTTACGGCTTTCATTCTTGACACACGGAGCGGGGCTTTACTGGTCATTTTTTGCATTAGAGTTCCTAACTCCTCTCTCCCTTCTCGTCATGTCGGAGAAAGACTTGGAAAAGGGAGACTCTAGGGCATCTGGCCCACCACAGTACGACTATGGAGCCACGGAAGAGACGCTGGAGGGCACGAAATGGACTCGGTTCCGGGACAGTTTCAAGAAGAATCCAAACGCGAGGATGGTGACTGAGGCGGTGGATGAGGAGGGCAAGCCTCTAGAAGACCAGCCACCTGCGGAACCTGCACTGAGCATGAAATTAAAGGACAGGCATCTCCAAATGATTGCTATTGGGGGCTCAATTGGTATGGTTCTTTTTTCTTTCTTAATGTTGCGTCGCTACGAGTATCACATACTGTCCTTAAAGGTCTTCACGGTTGCTATTCCGTTCCTTGGGTGAATTGACCAACATGCCTTGGACTTAATTACTGATAAAGCTGTCCTAGGTACCGGCCTCTTCGTCGGATCCGGTGCTGCTCTTGAAGCTGGTGGCCCTGCATCATTGATCATTGCATATGGTCTGATTGGGATAATGCTATTCTGTACAGTCCATGCCCTTGGAGAGCTAGCTGTAGCATTCCCAGTCGCAGGATCCTTCGCAGTATATGCGAGCCGCTTCATTGATCCTGCCTGGGGCTTTGCTATGGCCTGGAAGTGCGTATATCATATCATTCATCAACAGATGGTAGTAGCGAGAATGGCATTGCTGACTACTCAAAGCTACGCTCTATCCTGGCTTGTCACGCTACCCCTCGAGATCGTCGCCGCCTCCATCACTGTTGGTTACTGGCCTGGATCGCGCAACGTCAACCCAGCAGCTTGGGTCACCATCTTCTTGGCCGTGATTATCAGCATCAATCTCTTTGGTGTGAAAGGCTACGGAGAGGCTGAGTTTGTCTTCTCGATCATCAAGATCCTCGCTGTCGTTGGGTTTATGTAAGTTTCTTACCAATATGGCAATTCCCCTGCTTATCTAAAAGCCATCAGTATCCTTGGTATCATCATTGATACTGGCGGTGTTCCAGGTCAGTCGTACATGGGTGCGAAGTACTGGTACAATCCAGGAGCCTTTGTACGTCGATTGTTGAAGAGAGACAAGAAGTGATTGAACTGACCATCACTCGTAGCACAATGGCTTCAAAGGGCTTTGCTCAGTTTTTGTCACTGCTGCATTCTCCTTCGCCGGTACTGAGTTGGTTGGCCTTTGCGCTGCCGAGACAGAAAATCCTCGGAAAACTTTACCCACTGCTGTGAAGCAGGTGTTTTGGCGTATTTGCTTGGTTTGTCGACCCTCGAACAATCTCCTGACAGAGTTTCTTACCGTGATAGTTCTACATGGTTTCACTTACAATCGTTGGTTGCTTAGTGCCATATAACGACCCTAACCTCATTGGAGCTTCTTCTAGCGATGCCAACGCATCCCCCTTCGTCATCGCCGTCAAAAATGCAGGCATCAGTGCCGTTCCTTCCATCATGAATGTCGTCATCATGATTGCTGTTCTCAGTGTCGGCAATTCCTCCATCTACGGATCTTCGCGTACTCTTGCTGCCCTTGCTGATCGTGGCCAAGCACCCAAGATTCTCGGCTATATCGACCGATCAGGTCGCCCACTAGTCGCCATCCTTTTCTCCTCCGCATTCGGCTTCATCTGCTACATTGTTGCAGCCGGTACCGATACCCGTGAAAAGGCCTTTACCTGGATGCTAGCTATATCGGGTCTTGCTGCCATTTTTAACTGGGCATCCATCTGTCTCTGCCATATCCGCTTCCGTCGCGCTTGGAAGCTCAAAGGCCACACGTTGGATGAACTAGCATTCAAATCCCAAGCAACAGTCTGGGGCTCATACGTCGGCTTCATCTTCAATATTTTGATTCTCATCGCGCAATTCTGGACCGGGTTTGCCCCCGTCGGTTACGGAGAGATGACAGCTGGAGAGCGGGTACAGAGCTTCTTTCAAGCATACTTGGCGTTTCCGATCGTTGTTTTGTTCTATATCGTGTATAAGATTTGGTTTAAAACGAAATTTAAGAGAGCCAAGGACATTGATGTCACAAGTGGTAGAAGGGAGATGAATTTGGCTGCGTTATTGGCGGAGGAGAGGGCTGAACAAGCGAAATGGCCAATGTGGAAGAAGATTTATAAGACGATTTGTTAGACAGGGGGTTGGGCGCAATTTGGAACTTCGCTGCTTCTACATTTTTGGATCTCGAGCAACACTGGAGGATGGCTTGAGGCAGTGGCTGGATGTCAGGTCGGGATGTGATGATGAACGTGTGGATACATTTACTACGCTGTATTATATTTATATCGAGCTGAAACTTTTGCGACCCAGTATCGCCAGTAGCCTCCCCTGGATATTTCGTTTCAAGTATTGGGGAGGGTAATGTCACGTGCTTCCAGCCCATTGAACTTCAAATTCCAATTCATCATCCTCCCACTACTCCACGAGCATATCCTATATTCCCACTAGAGACAAGGCAGTCTTTGCTAATTTCCCTCCGTCCTATTCTTAATCTTTTTTGTATTTGCCAGATTCGCGGTGTTAGACAGAAACACCCAAGTCATGCAAGATTTCTTCCAACGTGTAAAATCGCGCTTGTTCGGCATCTTCCTATCTGGGGGCTCTTCAGTCGACTTTTCCATCCGATTTTGGATTGTATTTGCGCTGCCGAGGTGGTCCTGTGCCACCTCAAGACGAGCTCATAACAGGTTTGCGGCGCTTCGGCGGCTATGGTCATGCCTCCTCCACCAGGATTGCTGGCATTTGGCGTGTTGGCACAAAGCACTCCTCGTTGTCGGCTCTCTCCCAATATCTTAGCTTAGTAAAAAGAGGATACAAATTTACTGCCTCGGTGGCACATTGGGCACAGTCCCCTGGGGAATCATTGATGTAGTTTAGTTAATGGATTGCCTTTCTTATCAGCTAGAGGGTGGTGGTGATGGTGGTGGTGATGCATGCTGAGCGGGTCTGCCATAGTGAGGAAATCTGCGCCGAACGGTGGTGGTAGCTGACGAATGGGATAGAGAGCACACAGGTGGTATTAGTTTGGCATATTATAGTGAGATTTCAGCCCGAGGGGCTAGTTCAGAGCAACTACAAGGCCGAAGGACGATGATTACCTACGCCGCGAGGTAATGGGTGGTCAAAGCTTCAGCGCCGAATCACCGACTTTCAAGGATCATTCGAACTTCTAATGTAGTTCCAGTGCTAGCAGAGGGGATGGTCGACGACCTCTGGTATGAGGAAGGTCTCATATGAGGATGGAGGATGCTTCGAAGCTATATTAGGCTCAAATACACTATTCCCGATTCAGCCTAGTTATACCAAGTTATTGAACTTACAGTCCGGAAAAATTCCAACATTACTCCTCTGCTTATGTTGCTAGTCGTCTATCTCACCATTAACTTGAATTTCTATGTGGGTTCGGTCGAAAATATCCCGAGGAGGTATCGTCCACAGGTGCTCTGGCGGCGACACTTGGACTCCCAGGCCTACGAAACGCAGAGCGGAATCGTACCAGGGAAGCAATTTGCGGAAAAATGAGGCTAAAGCTGAGTGGTACTTAGCCCTTCAGTGTATAAAGGATCAAGTATATCCTCTGTTCCACTTTTTTTGGAGAAGATGTGACGTCTTTCCATCCTCAAAATGGCATTCATCAAATCTTCATTCCGATTTCTCCTATCCCTTTCCCTCTCCCTCTACCAAATCACGGCCTCTATAACCCCCAATTCCTCCCCACTCGTCACTCTCGACTACGGCATCTTCCAAGGCGTCTACTCAACCTCCTACAACCTAACCCACTACCGCCGGATTCCTTTTGGCGCCTCCACCGCAGGCCCGAACCGCTTCCGCGCACCCCAACCCCCACTCCCTGTCAATGGCACCTATAACACCGACCGCGCCTTCGACATGTGTCCACAACGCACCGTTAACGGATCCGAAGACTGTCTCTACCTCGGTCTGTACTCTCGGCCTTGGGACGGAAAAACACTGCGACCCGTGCTCGTCACGTTCTACGGCGGCGGATTTATCCAGGGTTCTGCGAGTTTTACGATTCCACCGAGCGGGTTTCCGGTGTTGAATGCAAGCCAATTGAATGATTACGTTGTTGTCTATCCGAACTACCGGACCAACGTTTTCGGCTTCCTAGCCGGGGCGAAACTGAAAGGAAGAACGGATGTAGATTTTAATCCCGGGTTGCTGGATCAACAAGCTGCGTTGAAATGGGTGCAGAAGTATATCACGAGATTTGGTGGTGATCCCGCTAATGTCACCATCTGGGGTCAGTCGGCAGGTGGAGGAAGCGTGGTTGCGCAGTCCATTGCAAAGGGAAATCGAGGAAAGGGGCTGTTTGTGAAGGCAATGGCTAGTTCCCCGTATTGGCCGAAGACGTATCGGTTTGATGCGCCTGAGATTGAAGAGTTGTATGAGCAGGTTGTTGAAGCTGGGGGGTGTAAATCAAAGGATGATGAAATCGGATGTTTGAAGAGCGTAGACGTGCAGTTGTTGAGAGAGATTAGTTTGAAGATTTCAGCAGAGCACACATATTCGACTAGTAGCTATACTTGGGGACCCGTTGTTAGTGATGGGTTCCTCGCGGAATCGTTGTCGGAGGTTGTTAGGAGTGGGAAGTTGAACGTGGAGATGGTCATGGGAAGTTATAACTTGCATGAGGGGGAGAACTTTATTCCGCCAGGGTTGGCCAGTGCTTCGGGATCCGGGGGTTTCAATTCGTCGACTGCGAGTTTTGAGACCATGTTGAAGCTTTTCTTGCCAGGCTTTGGCGAGAATGAAGTGAACGAGGTGAAGAGGTTGTATCCGGAAATGGGAACTGCGGAGGAGATTCAATGGAATACTACGTATGAGAGAGCGGGGATGGTGTACCGAGATCTAGTGCTCGCTTGCCCAGCATATTGGACTGCGAAGACAGCAAAAAAAGGGTGGCTGATTGAGTATACGATTAGTCCGGCGAAGCATGCTTCCGATACTATTTACGTAAATGTCCATCCATTCACACAGAAGTCGATACGGGACTTGCTGACGGATATTACAGTGGAACCAAGTCAACGCGGTTCAGAAATCCGATACTTTGATCTATGAAGGATATACAGGGGCAATGGCGAGTTTTGCCCAAACGGGCGACCCTAACGCGCATAAGCTTACAAATGTAAGTACTGTGGGTGTACCAAGCGTAGATGAGAATAGGCAATTCGTAGTTCGTAAATCCAGGCTCGCGGATGTCAGTATTAGCATGTTGGAGAAGAGATGCGAGTTCTGGCTTCAGCAGGGGAGTAAAATTCCCGTGTGACCAAATGCCTACCAACCCAAGAAATTCAGAAATCGTTCTTAGAAGTATTACCTCTTATACAACCCCAGCAATCCCCCCAGGTCTACCTCACCTCCCTTTCCCCTCACCATCAACAACAAATTCAATGCACCGCTTCCCAAATACAGCGGACACTTGATGCCCTGTGCCTCCTCCAACACTATTTTAATACTCTCTAGAAAACTTACAATCCTTTCCTTCCCACTATCTTCCCCTTCCAAAATCGGAATCATCTTTGCACCGAAATCCTTAAACATGGTACTCCCACCCGCCGCATCAACGGCCAACTCATACAGCTGGGGCAGCGGCAATCCGACATGCTTCGCAAATGCAATACTCTCGGCTGCAGCGCAAAGATGGACAGTACGCAGGAGATTAACAACGAGATCGAGTTTCTTTTCCTTTTCTGTAGCAGATAATGTGGATTGGATGCTAGACACCGGATCTGAAGTCCAGAGACGAACCATGCCGGCGTCGTCGTTGGGTCCCCAGCCGCGGTCCACGCCAGAGAGGTAAACTTGCTCGGCAATGGTGCAGAGGGGGGCCGGGAAGTTTACCAGGCGGGCCATAGAAGTTATGATGCCCTGGTATTAATTAGCAAAACGTCTTTTACCATCTCTTCTCCCGACGACAGGGTCTAAGGAAGAGAGTTTTGTAGATGACGCACGGCACATTGGGGGTGCAATACATACCACATCCTTGAGAATAATCATCAATGCACTTGCTCCAGGAAAATAATCCTCCCCCAGCGTCCTCACGCTTCTATTCTCAAACATCCAGCTCCAGGCCTCACATCCCACCACCTTCTCCCTCACGCTACTCCCATCCAGCCCCAACCTCGCCGCAAACCCAAACGCCTCACTTACAGCCAGAATCTGTATCGCGGCCAGCACTTGATGCACCATTTTCATATTACTCCCCGCGCCAACACCACCCGCTACAATGAACAGTTTCGACGGCGCGGACAACTCTTCTAGCAACCATTGGCCTTTTTGAAGGGCTGCTGAGGACCCACCGGCCATTATAGAAAGCGTGCCGTCTGCAGCGCGGATCGCGCCACCAGAAACAGGCGCGTCGATGAAGAAGATATCGGACCTCCCCACATCCTTCAACCTCACCTCCACCGCCTGGGCATACGAACTCGGTACCGTGGAACACAGCAATAGCGTCGCTTCTTTCGGCAAGCTCTGCACAATCCCCTCTTCTCCGAATAATGCGGAGTCAGCTTGTTGCGCGGTAGCAACCATGACGACATAAAATGCTTTGTCTTTCGCTGATTCCGAGAGCGAAGGAGTTGACACGCCGCCGGCAGTCTTGAATTTCTCGAGGGTTGGCGTCCAGACGTCAAAGCCGGTGACGATGTAGCCAGATTTTACGAGGTGCGTGGCCATGCCGAAGCCCATAGCTCCGAGGCCACAGAAGCCGATTGGGGGTTTAGGGGACATTGGTTGGGGGGGAGTGATAGAAGGGGGCTGAGAATGTCACGGGAAATTTCGAGGGTGATGAAACGAAGAAAGTGTGGCCAGAGAAAAATCAGGAACGAAGAAACCGCAGGGACTAAAAACCAAGACTAAGCTTTAGAAATACCGGGCTTCTCTCCGCGTCTCAAAAGCTTGTCTATAGAGATTTCAGCAGGGTAGTATGAGTGGAAGTTAGAGATATATCAAACCGGACATCCCAACCAAACACCCGACCCAGCAGAATCCTACACCCCTGCCCTCCCACCCACAACTTCCATCGGCAGCTCAAACTCCCCAAAAATCCCTCTCACGATACTCCTAGCACTCTTGGTCAATTGCCGATAATCCACCCTTCTAGACCGTTTCGGTAGGACATTTACCGGAGACAACGACCCCGCTACACATATCCGTCATAGTGCGGGGTACGCCCGTGCATGTCATGAACGCCTCATTGAACATTAGGAGGGGAGTTTTGCCGGCTGTGAGGGTGGGATACTTAATATAGGAAGCCGATTGCGGATGTTGTGGTTATTTGGCGCGCGGGGTGGAAGGTGGATAAAGCGTGTTGCGATGCCTGACGATGTGTGGAGGACCTAGGCTTCAACCTTTATGACGGTGGTTTGCACTTCGGGATATGATCTTCGGGATTTGATCTTTGGGAATTTACGATAGCTAATCCTCCTGTTTATTTGATTCAAGTTTTTTCGTGTCTTCGTCTCCAATTTTTACACTTCAATCTTGACATCCTTTTACCCTCACACCCTCTAAGGACCGAAATTCCATCTCAACCACAACTATGGACTCCAACCGCGCCCTCCCCATCCTCGATGCCGCCCAAAAACACTCCTACGGCATCCCCGCAATGTGCTGCTACAACACCGAAGGCATCCTGGCCACGGTCCGGGCTGCCGAAGCCAAATCCTCACCCGCCATGATCCTGCTTTTCCCCTGGGCAATCCAATACGCAAACTCCTGTCTTGTGCACCTCGCCGCCGAAGCTGCCCGCAATGCCTCCGTCCCCGTAACCGTGCATCTCGACCACGCGCAGAGCCCTGAAATCGTGCGACGTGCTGCGGACATGGGCGGTTTTGATAGTATTATGATTGATATGAGTCACTACGAGAAAGAAGAGAACTTGCGACTGACGACTGAGTTAACGCAATATTGCCATGAAAGGGGGATAGCGTGTGAGGCTGAACCTGGGCGTATTGAGGGCGGGGAGGATGGTGTTGGGGATACCGAGGATCTTGAAGGGCTCTTGACGACTCCCGAGGAAGCGCAGCGGTTCGTCGACTGCGGGATTGATTGGCTAGCACCCGCTTTCGGGAACGTTCATGGGAATTACGGACCCAGAGGCATTCAGCTAGAATATGACCGTCTGCAGAGTATCAATGAGGCGGTAGGGGATAAGGTCAGGTTGGTGTTGCATGGTGCGGATCCGTTCACGAAAGAGATTTTTGGGAAGTGTATTGGATGTGGAGTTAGCAAGATTAATATCAACAAAGTGTTGAACAACCCGTGTCAGAAGGTGTGGGCGGAGAAGGCGGGCAAAGCGGCTTTTACAAGCGTGATTGAGGAGGCGACGTTGGAGATGCAGAAGGCGGTGGAAATGTGTTGTGATATGCTAGGGTCGACAGGGAAAGCTTACGTTGCATAGAATTAGTCGGAAAATAGGGTATATGACATCATAATATTGCACACTCCCTCTGTCTCCATTGTTCCACTTTACCGTCTCAGCAAGAACCCCAAATGCATTATCCTGTTCCAAGACAATAGCCCGAGTAACCTGAATAGTCTATCCCCCCTTCCCCCTGTCCTCCTGGATTGTCCCCTAAACCAACATGCAGCGCCTAAGAGGAAAGTCTAGCCGCTGCGAACCCGAGAGGTGGGTATTCGCACTCAAGGCCAGCTGCCTCGCAGGCACCACACGCCGCAATCACCAGGTCACAATACTTCTTCTTGTTCCTGCAGCGCAAACAAGCTGTCCGGGGGTGGCTCGGCTTCCGATTGGTGGCATAGTCGCACGGCAAGTTACAACGCCGGCATCTATCGCAGGTTGGACGAGTCTTGTCGCACAAGAGCTTTGCTCTGTGGCATTCATCGCACGCGAAGTTCTTGCTACCCACGATGCTACCAATGGGCGGCATCTTCTCCAGCTGCTGCTGGGCAGCGTCCTGACTATCGGCGTCTGACCCCTCGTCCTCGTCCAGTGTTAGGTTGTCAGGTCGTAGGAATTGCAGCCGTGAGTGCCTGGTAGCGGTGGTTGGGTAGGGTGCCTAGCACCGGCGACACGCCTGATGTATCGGGTCTTGAGATGTCATTGGGGAGGGACAAGGATCAAAAGCAGACGAACGCGTCAGCCGGCTTTCGGCTTAGGCATATGGCGACTGGAGGCTTGCTGCTTGACCGTAAGAAATTTGAGGATTCGCTGGTAGGGTGTTGTCCAGCATCTCAAGATGCATGAGGTGGCAGTAGGCCGGCTGGGCGTATGCTGAACGAAGAATATGTTGGGGATAGACAATGCTTGCGGTAGGCAGAGTTTCTGGTCCTGTATCTCCAGCAGGATTCTTCTCCTCTCGAGTATCGGTCCCGAGGTATTCCATCATTCAGACTTCTTCGACCAACTCTAAATCTCCAAGCGTGCCGTCGGTGTTTCGGAATTGAAAGGGTTCCATCTTAGGTGGATGTCTTCGCGTATAGGGTATGTTTGTAACGACGAGGTGACAGTGGGCGTCCGCACGAAGCTGCGTGGACCGTCTTTCGGGTGACGTGCCAGGAAAGGCTCTAAAGATTCCAAGGCACTCTCCTTGTAGCAACGCTTGCTCGTAGCGGTGGAAATAAACCTGAGCGGGATAGAAAGCTAGTGGTCGCAAGAAGGGATAGCGAGAGTCCGTAAGGAGCAGCGAGGGTTGCCTCTGTTTAATATCTGGGCGAAAAAGCTAGCTAGACCCTCATGGCGCGTCTCTTCATAGCTATGCTTACTCGTGGTAAAGGAGATAGGGGTGATGCCACGGAGATCGCAGCCAACAAGAGGGAGGAAAAGGTGAGCTTAAGAATTTCAAATGGCAGAGTTCCTACACTCGGAAGGCGGTGTCCATATTGCGGTAGAGCCTCAAAAAGTGGTGTTTGTTTGATGTGGGTTCAGTGATATAGTCACCGTAGCAAAACCACCTCATGTCCACCAAGCTCAAAATTCTCAGATAGCTCCACTTCATATGCACCGCGTGCAGGAAAGTAATAGCAGATAATTATTACATAAATGCGCCTAGGGCATATCGGAAACTATCTCGTACACTCCCGAAGTCCTATTTGTGCCTGTGTCCTCCTGTGCAGCCCATTTTTTCGCCCTACTGGCTTTCCCTTGCGTCCTCATTTTATCCCACCATGGCTGCACATCCTAGAGTGCTTGGAATAGCAGTAACACAGCTAGCCCAACCATTTTAACCTCTTTAAAGAAAAAAAGGAATTAAAAGAAAGCCGTTCGGGCTATGGAGAATAGGTAGGCCGGAATAAACCCCAACCAAGGTTCGCACTCCCTACCGGGAGAGAAGCCGCCTACCTTGTTGGCGATTAGCTAGTTGGCTCCATAGTCAGGGGTGAACGTTCTCCTGATTGATCAGTGAAATGTGAAATATTTGCGTTTATATCCCGAATGATTGTAAAAGCGAGAAGATCGAGAGTTCGGAGTAAGAGAGAGCCCTCAGCCTAGCGACCGTACGCACTTAGAGGTGGCAGGCAACTGGAATCACAGCACGGCCGGAGAGTTTGCGGAATGGTGACGGTGATTGGGCAAGTGAGGCTCGCAATCCGTCTAACCTAGGGTTATAAAGAACGCAGCACTAAGGGGCCATCATGAACTGACCTTTGTAACAACCACCAGCAACGGTCGAAGTTCCATGGAGTGCAACGATAGGCAGCAACAAAGGAACCTTTCGGTATGTAACATGGGTCATTCCTTAGGGCTCAGCATATATCAGAGGACTATGTGCGTGTAACTTAACTAAGTCTGCAAATCAACGAGCCGTTGTATCTAAAGGTCCACGGCAGAATGCAAACAGATGCAGAAGTCCCTTACTACACATCATGACTGGCGGTAGCATCTCAGAGAACAACATCAAGGCAATGGGCATCCAAAGGCTGTAGCGGCACACCATCTACTTTTCTAATATTCCTTGGTGGATTTTAGTATGCTCGGTGGCTTTAGAAAACTACTTTAACCATGCGCCTACGAAACGTGCGCACAGAAATGTACCTCTACATCATGAAGCGTTACGTAGAGCCTCTTTCGCTCTCCTTTTCAGATTTACAATTAGTGTCCAGGATTGAAAATGTTTTTTTAGCATCAGCCAGCGGCATGACAGCCCTTTGGTGGTCTGTGAAACGTTGTGTGATTATGGAGAATGCGGAGAAATTTCTCCCACCTCCGCCGGACTGCAACAATTTCTCCTAAGGTCTTTCTCCACGGTTAGAATTGTGCGAGATATATTCAATAATCGCTTTTATAGTCCCTTTTAATCTTGGTTTTTCTCTTTTTCACAGTCGCGGAGTCCTGGTGGTGAGGGCGATCCGATGGTTGAGGCGACGTTGACCTTAGATTCATTACAAAGCGGGACAATCAGTTGCATAAATAACTTCCTTTTAAAATCTGGGCGGGATTTCGAATAGGCGAATTCGTATGTTTGTTACTATATAGTGATAATGGTACTAGGGGTGGTTGAGTTCTCACGGTAGGGGCGATCTACAGGGAGGTTGAAGCGCAACCGTTCTGGAGTATGCCTAAGTCCTTAAGATGGAATCTTTAAACTAAAAAAAACATTTGTAAGCTTGGCGGTGGTGCAATGGAATAATGTTGTATTGGTGGTCTGGAGCCTCAGGGCAGTCGTATTGTGTAGAGGTGATCCGTACAGGCACTTCTAGATAACATCCCTCACTGCGTAGCGAGACACACTGTGTGGCGAGACAAATGAGGGGTACTTTGACTTTCAGCAACTGGAAAGCCCATGCGCACGACAAATATTGCTATAATTCTACAAAAATAATTTTGCTGTAGCTAATTCTAAATGCCTATGTCCCACTTTGCCTAAAAATTACGTTCGCATTATCGCTTCCGCGCCTGATTTGTACAGTGCCTTATGTTGTGGCATAACAGGCTTCCCTCCCTATAGCGCTAAACTTAACCCTTTTTTGCTCTAAGTTTTTGTAGAATAGCCTGATCCTTCTCTTATAACCTCCCTCTTATACTAGGAAGTCATCATTAACCCTGTGCGCGCTGCGAGGCGCGATTTCATGCAGGGCCACCCCGTTGATCAGTACTTTCAGCGGAAGCGAACCACCGATCCTGGCTAATGCGAGGTGACCCCGCACGTCTTACATCATACACCCGCGGGTATTTTATTGTATGATATGTGGCTGTGCGAGATGCACAAGCGTTCAGATTATCTTTAAGTCCGACTTAGGATTAGGAGCAGTGATAAGGCATAGCCTAATGCTTATTTATTCAGTCAACGCGCTTCTAGCGTCAAAACCAGCTTCGACACACACTTCAAGATGCAGTCCAACGCACAGCGATACCTACCATCGCGCCACCCCCGAGTGCCGAGATCCGCCGCTGTCCCTTCCGCTGACCAATAGAACGACCTGATCAAGCCCATCACGCCCTCATGCTTCTCAAGTCCACAGCGCGCCGATTCCTAGACTAAGCCGCAGCGAGCTCTAGTCTTAGCTCGTTAAAGGGGAATACAATGTGATAGGAAGGATATAAGCTAAGATAGAGCGCGGCGGGCCTAGAAATTAAAGCTTGCGCTTCAGCATGTGGGTTCAACTGAGCACTACTGGCAAAAGGCCGTCGTTGCAAGCGCATACGTAGGTGGAAAGACCTTGGATGTTCAGATGATATAGCTGTCGTACGGTGAAATGACCAGCGGCTCCATACTAGTGCGCAGAATCAAGCCGCCATTAGTGGTGCTTCCATGCTCACGGTCTTGAAAGATCTCAGTCATCAGGCGGTATGGAATGCGCGCTTAGACTCTAATTCTGGGTTCTGCACGCTGGATATGGGCCCTACATCGTCATGCCCGACTCCATCAGCGCCGCAATCGACTCCACCCCTCTGTTTTTCTGTCGTGACAGAAGGCCTCGTGCATGAGCTGTGGGTGCATTTTGAGCATGAAGGCTCATTTCATATGGAGTTCCTTCGGTCGTGGCGCACTACACGTAAACGCGATGCGGAAGGGCCTACGTATTTTCTAGCTCGCATAATGGAATGGGGCAGAGGAAGATTCAAGGACGCCATTGTGGAGAAGCTAGATAAGGTCCAAAGATGTGGAGCTTTCGGGTAACTGATCGCATGAGCAGGAATAACCTCTGGCATTGTACAATGTTCGTCGTTATTTTGTTTTAATTACCTATCTACTTAGATTTTCCTAGAAGCTCGTCGTCTCAAATTCTTATCTAGGGTCATGTAATTCACCACCTTATATGCCCTCCCTTTGCGTCTTATCACAGCCTAGCAACGTTCATTCATGTCCTCTAATATATCTAGCGACATCAGACAAGTCCAATGCCGCCCACTCTTTTTCTACACACTGCCTTAGCTCCGCAAGAGTCCGCGGACATCTCTTGGTCACTCTCTGTTTCAGCAACCGCCATACATTCTCAATTGGGTTCAGGTCCAGAGAATTAGCAGGCCAGCACATCTTGTCTATACCACACAGATTATAGAGCTGTTTAGTAAGCTTGGCAGTATGCGGGGAAGCACCGTCTTCCATAAACATGGCGTGCCTCAAGCGATTTCCGGGGTGTTGTGCCACCCAGTCCATGAAATAGTATACCCAGGGAAGTACCCTTTCTCTATGTACTTCACCCGTCAGCCCAGCCCATTCCTTCTCCATCACCACCATCGGCCCCTTTCCAAACGCTGAGATGCTTTCATGGATTGTCCAAGATGAGTAGGTCCTCAATTTTGGTACGCAACAGGACACGTCATACTTCTCTTCTGGTCGCCGGGTGACGTATATCCTTCCAAAGCCTTCAGTCGAAAAGGTGCACTCGTCGGTCCAGACGACCTGAGCCCACTGCTCCGCCTTCCAGTCCAAGTGCTCGATTGCCTACGCTAAGCGCACCTGCTTTTGCACTTCAGTGAGCAGAGGCTTTGCGGTGGCCACGTGGCGCCCGTAAGACTCCATTTTGAATGCTGCCATCAGCGCTTTATAACCTGCCTGCACACCTTCTAGCCGAGCAATCTCCTTGTACGTCATTTGACGATGAGCAGCGCTAAGTGTGGCCCAAGCAACCAGGCGTTCCCGGATCCTGTCCGTAACGGCGGGCTTTCTTCCTAGTTGCTTCTGTTGAACTTTGGCTCTAGATGCAAGTACTGGCTGGACAGTAGTTCAAGGAAGCGCCATAGCCGTAGCAATTGCTTCTGTTAGCCAGCCTGACAAGTCCGAGAGTGTGAAGATACGGCAGCGTTGTTGGTATGTTAGTCTCCTCCCTGGCTGGCGGGTACGGTCTCGGTTCCGCTGTGATGGACGTAATGCGTGATGTTGGCGAGGCCTCCGAACTATGTTGGGCATGCTTGCTCTCTCGTACGTGTATTAAAGCACTTGCAAAATAGTACGTGGGTTTTGATAGGCATAGAGCACATATTCCCCCACCTTCCGTGGCATTCTCTTAGATAATAAGTTTCTTGTCAATCCACTTCTAATGCTTCAAAAGATGTACAAGATGTGACTTTTCCCAAAGGTATATATCCATTTCTTCATGTCACCACTGTTTGGCTTTCTGCTAACCGCTTCTGTCACAAATGATTTAGAATGTTCTGGTCACATTGCATCACATAAATTAACAACCTGCAGTGGCTGTGCGTTCGTGACATCAAATCAATTGAGGAGTTGTGTTCTATACACGCATTCAAATTCACTATCTCTTTTTTTGGAATCGTTACATGGCTGGTCGTCGGTTGTGTCAATTTGGCTCCCGTAGTGGGTCCAGTCCCTGGCGCCTAGTCGGATCCGCTTATGATGTCATCTGGTCCTTGCTAGAAGCTATGCTCGAAACGCGTTAGCGCCTGCCACCCTTCATGGCAACAGTGCCCATTTTCAACACCTACATGCACGCCAAAAAAATCGAGCGCCTTCTCAACAAGGTCTGTGTCAGTGCGGTTCGGCCGTCCTCCCTGCTAGTGTCACCAAGGTGTTCGTCCGCTTCTCAAGATATAAGCATATTTTGCCTAGTCGCTTGCGAATTCGCCTTCATCTACAGCCTGACCTCTGCATGTCAGCCTTACCGCGCCACAATGAGGGATGTGCAATCAGCCGCACCCTGCCCCGACAAGTGTCGCAGCGGAATTAGCTCACAACACTCTTGCGCTCTCTTTCCCTTAGTGCAGTTTTTGGTATAGCTCAGCGTCATATGCTCCTGTGTGCTTGCTAACAATACCTAGGAGCAATACCCTCTTCGGACGGGCGGTTTACCATACTCGTCTCATCTGTCAGGCTGCCATCTTTGAACCTGACCGAGATCTATTCCTACCGCTTGCTCCCGCCAGATATATGCGAGGCAATGCGTCTTTTGCGACGCAGCGATACTGGCGAGTTCGCTCTTACTCAGTTTCGCGACGAGGTCATCCCTCCCTATGCGATCCTCTCACATACCTGGACCGAGGGCCACGAAGTCACCTTCCGCGAATTGGAGGACAGAACCGGACCAAAGGCTGGCTACGACAAGATTAATTTTTGTGGACAGCAGGCTGAGCGCGATGGCTTGGGATACTTCTGGGTGGACACTTGCTGCACTATACAGACTCACCACCGACGACAACGCCCTACGAAAAGGGTGGCATATGCCGCCGAAAATGGCGGCAGAATGTACATAGCTTTTCAATACAAACGTATTAATATTTCTGTACCGTTACCTAAGAATCCTTGACCAGCGCTCCAACTCGAGAACCCGCTCTTGCAATGAGGCCCTAGAATCAGGCCCCCAAGTACCATGTTTTAGCGCGTAATGCACGGCCTCGCGTAATGCACAATTTTGGCAATCCGCGCCTTTTACTTTTAAAGCTCTAGAGACTTACATAAATTATAGATTATATAAATTTTTTATTATAATACTAATTAAATGCTATAGATTTTATTTCTAGCAATAATTTACATG